ACGCCCTATTGCCGCCGACACTCTGAGAGACACGCCCTACTTCGGCTTCTTCTGGAGCTCGGGCATGACGCACCAGACCGTCGAGTGGGCGTCGGGGGCGGACTTGCCTTCGCTCCAGTACCTGACGGCGCTGCAGGAGAGCGGCGTGCTGGACCACACCATCGTCTTCTTCATCAGCGACCACGGCATCAGGTTCGGGGACATACGCTCGACCTACGCAGGGTTCCTGGAGGAGAGCCTGCCCTACTTCTTCGCCTTCTTCCCCCCCTGGTTCAGGCAGAGGTTTCCCGAGGCCTGGAGGAACCTCGTCACCAACACGAACCGACTCGTGTCCAACTTCGACTTCCACGCGACGCTGCGAGACATCCTGGCGGGGGCCTTCGGGAACCTCTCCTACGGGTGGGTGGCCTGCGTCGCCTCTCTCACGCCCGGCACTCTCTTTCTCTCTCGGGTTAAGATAAGTTGAACTACCTAAGGAGAATGATGGTAATGATATAATGGCGGTGGTGATGGTGAAAATAATAATAATGATAATAAGATTAACAATAATGAATGTAAATAACCCTCATCTCTCGCAGTCTGCCCCCCCTCCGACATGGCCAGAGCTTGTTCAAAGAGATCCCGCTGAACAGAACGTGCGCAGACGCCACCATTCCTGAACATTACTGCACATGTGAACGCCAGAGTGAAGTTCCCGCTGACGACAAGACACTGCTGGACGCTGCCACTTACGCTGTGTCTCAGTTGAACAGCCAGCTCGAACAATTTAAGGAATGTGCGGAATTGTATGTTCAGAAGGTAATCCTTTCCTGCATATTTTTGTTTAGTTTTAGTCTAGGTGATATTTTGCTTATTTATATTTTCACTTTTGTTCCATTCTATTGCATTTCATTTTGTTTTGTTTGAATATTTTTTTGTTTGATTTAATTATATTCAGTTCTATAAGTTTTATTTTATTCAATTTAATTTGATTTAATTTTTCTTAATTTCTTTTGACTTATTTTCACTTTATTATATTCTATGCTCTATATTATCTTACTCTATCATATTTTTTTTGTTTGTTTGTTTCATTTGACCATTTTATTTTTGTTAAAGTGGTTAACAAGGTGATTGCAGAGGGAAGGGGAAAGGGAGATAGAGAGAAACGAGGCAAGGGGGCCAAAAATGTGGAGGGAGAAGGATGAAGAGAGGAAGACTGAAGGAGAGAAATAGAAGAAGTGTGGGGGAAGAAGAGTAGTAAAGAGAGCCAGAGAGAGAGAGAGGAGAGAGAGAGAGAGAGAGAGAGAGAGAGAGAGAGAGAGAGAGAGAGAGAGAGAGAGAGAGAGAGAGAGAGAGAGAGAGAGAGAGATATGAGAAGAGAGACGGAGAGAGAACGAGAACGGGAGAAAAAAAGACATAGAAAGGGTGAGACTATCGAGAAAAAGCGAGCATGAAAGGAAAAAAAAAAGAAACAAATGACCGTCAACTAAGTCACCCAGATCTGCAAACCCCTCACTGCTTTTGGCCCCGTAGGTCATCCGAGGCCAAGTTGGGTCACTCAGACAGGGGGCGGAGACAAAGGCCATAAAATCGTCCTCTGTCATCACGGTTGCGTTCGTGACTCTGCCAGGTGAGTCACTAATGAGTCGGTGTGAGTCAACGGGATAGGTGAGTTAATGATGAATGAGTTTGTGGTTTATGTGGGCTTTGGTGTCAGAATGGTCTTGTTGGATAGATGAGTCACTGGTGAGTCGGTGTGAGTCAGAGGGTCTAGTGATAAGAATGAGTCGGAAGAGTTTGCTGGTCAGGTGAGTCATCAATGAGTATCCGAGTCAGGTGAGTCGCTAATGCGTCAGTGGGTCGGGAGAGTCTCTGAGAAATCGGGATGAGTCGCGGGAGGGATGGAGGTGAGTCAGAGGTGAGTGTATGAGAAGTTAAATAGGCTTAAGTAAGAATGAGTTACAAGTCTAATCGGTCACTGATTGTCCAGAAAATGAGTCAGTGGTGAGTCAGAAAGGATGTGTTAGTGGATGAGTGATGAGTCAGAGCGACAGAATGATAAACAGTTGAGTCAAGAGAAGACTAGAAGACTGTGATGGTGAAAGACTTAAAACTCAGTTATAAATAAAGTAATTAACGATGATAATAATAGTGATAATTACAGTAATGATGATGATAGTAATAAGTCATATAATCAACACACTTGAAACAAAAGATCTGTAAAATAACATAGGTTGAGTAGTGACCGTAATGATAATGAAGTTTAAAAATTGCACAGGTGAAGGACAACTGGAAGCGACAGTCACACACCACAATAAAACATTCGAACTGACAGCAGAAATTTCCAGAATCAACATGTACGGCAACCAGAGTCATTGCATATTGGATCCCTTTTATCAAAAATATTGTTATTGCAACGACCTGCTCCACGCTACCCCGGCGGCGCGCGGATGAGGAACATCGACTAGCAGGCTTTGCTACAGTTAGCGAGATTGGCCGGATGACAAACTATTTATTGAATCCTGTGATTTTCTTTAGCAAATGCTGGTAAATAGTGATTACAATAGCTATTTTTTATTGTTGAGCAAATACTATGAACAGTGTATTCATTTATTTTTTTACTAGGAATTTCTTATGAATAGCAAGTACTGTGCATTAGTAATCCCAGGAAAAAGGCAAAGGTTACTTACTGTTGCTCAGTAAAACTTGATATATAAATCTAGGTAAAGAAATATATAGAATAATAGAAGATATAGAACTAGGAACATATAGTATAATCAGGGTACCATTACTAACATGCTTCTCTAGGGAGTGCTTCTGTCTGCCATGCAGGTGGCTTTTCTCCTGCACCCTTCTTGTCGCGTCTGCATATTTGTCCTTACTACTTTAACATGTTGCAAACTGGGTATACTTGAAGAATAAATGAATAAATTAATTATAGAATTAAATGAAAATGAAACTGACTTGGTCTGAATTTTATTAAAAAAAAAAAAAAAAAAAAAAAAAAAAGGCAAGGAGGATCCGTGGTGGAAAATTAACCAAAATTTCCAAGAATCTTCGGAAAGTAATAGCATTTTGGGTATGAGTGAATTGTTTTCCAGTTTTATCGACAACCTGACTAAATTGTTCAACGTTAGATAATAAAATTCCAAATCTTACAGGGAGCCGTGCAGGTTTCCAAACATCAAGATTTTTTAAAATCCTTAATAATACTTTTTAAATACATTATAAACTATAGTCCACTTTATGTTGCATGTTTAAACTGTTAAAAGACCATGGCTTAACCAGCAGTGCAGCAGGTGTCTTCAGTCTCAACCTGACTACGTTCTTTTTTCTTCTTACAATTTCTGTTGAGAACAGATTGCCTTTATCATAAAAAATGTACAAGGACGAAGGGGTAGAAACAAATTGTAAATAACACACCTACAGGCAGTGGCATGAAGACAAACAACACCGCAACGTAAAGGAACGGCTAATCCAAGGTCTGCGCCTAATCACAGAGATGCCCTGATAGCTATAAAACATAATGTGCCATATCTTCAGTTATATGCAATTACCTGAAATAAATTGTTGAATTTTCAATTACTTCAGGTGTAAGCTCCGCCCTTACACGCGTGCCATCGTCTCTATTAAAATCGTCAACACGCATGCGCGACCCATCGCCGGATAGGTAAAATGCAAAATACTTCCTGTAGTTTATTTTGTGTTGTTCCATTGTGATCTTGAGGATTATTCAAATTATATTCTTTAATGAAACATATGTGAAAATGGTATAAAATCATACAGAAAGATATAAGAAAGATATATTATTACTCAGGCCGTTGAAGAATGGAGTCGCAGCCAGGGAAATACATTCGAACTTGTATACTTTTTGATAGGTGTTCGTACGCCTGACAGCGCTGAAGCTCCGTTCATAAAACTTGAAATAATTGACTATTCACTTTTATTTATCTCTATGTTTATCATTATGCCATAAAGAAACCATATAGCGAAAAGGCCTGAGGCTTCTTCATGCATTCCTTGTCTTTCCCTTCGTCTTGTTTTCACTTGGGCGGAACCACTTCTGAAAGCTTCGGAGTCAGGCAGGCGTTTTATGCGCCATCTAGTCTTCGGAAAGGAATCGTTGAGTCTACTTTTGAGATGGAAGGATCAAACGGTAAAGTTATAGATAATGTATATACTGTATTTTTCTAGACATAAAAATATTTATTAAATCTAGACATGTGTTGTTTTTTCCTTTTTTCTAGATATATACAAACTTTTTTTCTGTTTTAATTTTAGACATATAAACATGACATGAGTATCACGTGTTAGCTGATTTAGCATGAAAAAAAAAAAAAAACAATTGGGTACTCTAGAGGTATGTAAACGAGGTAGATAAAATGTAAATAATAATAATCATACCTCCCTGCAGTAAGGGCAGTGCAGTGACACAACACACATATCCGACTCTTTCGACACATTCCGTATGTTTTACGAATAGACGATGCAATAAAAGTAGTTGTACTACGACAACTGACTACTTGTAGATAATTTTGTTATTTGTCAACATTCCAGATATTGATCATCGCCATTCCCGCGAATCGTGATTTTTTTTTTTTTTTTTTTTTTTTTTTTTTTTTTTTAAGAAGACTGATCTCTTTCGAAGTTGAAACAGACTTTGGTAAAATTATCTTAAAGTAATTTTAAGAAAGTTAAGGAAAATTATACACACATGCATAAATATATGTATTTATATATATACATATGTATATATATATGTATATATATATATATATATATATATATATATATATATATATATATATATATATATATACATATACACGTGCACGTAACATTTTTTCTTAATCTTTGATTCTTTTACTATGGCAATCAGGCGTGCACAAAGAAATTGCCATGGCATTCACATTTGTTCGCCCATCATTGGATCTAGTAGCCCAACATGTAAACGAGAAGAACAAAAGAGAACATTTAATTGAAGAGTTTTTAATTGTTTTATTATTCATTTTTCAAACTCCAGAAAATATAAATAAAACAGAGACATGGAGCGCTAAAGAAGCAATTTTGGCGGTGGTGCGAGTGCGGCAACGCTACTTTCTGTGGTAGCTCAGCGGGCTACCACACCTCTTTAACATCCGTAGGCCGCACGTTTTTCTGGTAGCCCCGGGTCTGCGGGCTACCGATTTATGCACCCTTGGCGATACTTGGACGTGTAATTAATATGTCTTTTCAAAAGTGATCCCACATATACCACCGAGCTATGCCTCTTTCGATTTATTTCTTACTATTCTTTGACTGTATAGAAGTTTGTGCTATGATTATTGTGGTTTTGGAAGTGCAATGTACATATTTCTGTGAAAAAATAAATTTTATGTTTTACTTGACTACTCCTTTACTTTCCTAAAATCGCTTGGGACATAAGCAAAATATTCTTCAGTGTGATCTCGTCTTTTCTCATTGTATTTCAACAAAGCCCCAAATCCACTTCTTGTTACAGGATGATCAGTTACTCCTGCTATCGAAGGAGTTGAAGCGGGTGAGAATCGATGTGGCCGCCCTCCGGAGGTGAGAAGACCTGGCACCGGCCAAGGTCTATATATAGACCTTGGCATCGGCATGGCCGGTGTGGGTGGGTGCATGTATTACAAGTCGAGGAGGTGGCCAACAGCCATCTCCAGTGTCTCGATTTACTCCAGTCGATGAGCACATAATGGCATCGAGACTGAAGCTTGCGTTTGGCTTCATGTCTCTTCTTGCTGTGTACACTCCTACAGATGTTTATAAAGGTGTTATTCGCCAAAGTGATGTCTGGGTCAGACAGTTGTCCCCGGCGAGACATTCGCATTGTCCTGAGAGACCAATGCGGAATCCGGTTGTGATCGAGAGGGCTACGAGAGGGCTGTCGGTCCCCATGGCTCAGGAGCTGATTCCAGCAGGTTCCAGAGATTGATAATTTTTGGCTCTCCAACCCGCTGGACATGGTACAGTGATACGGGTAAAGTGGCCAAGAAGACCTATTGCATCCAAGCTAGCATTCGCTGGGGGGACCTCCCGTACTGCAGGGTTTACCGGTGTGTCGAGATCTGGTACCACATCGACATGGTCACTTCGGGTCCACAAAAAAATCCCCCTTTTCCGGGGTCCACCCCTGCACCATTTCAGCTGGACAGATTGAGGGGGGAGTGTGCCCGGATTCCCAGCCCTCGACAACCTAGCGGAATCTGTAGCTTTATGGGATTCTTTCAAGCGCGAAACACTCGGCGCACGGGGTCAAAGGTCGCTGGAGACCGGAGGCCACAAATAAGTATCGTCTACTGAAAGATAACCATGATTGCGCCCGTTGATGCACAGGGCACGAACACTGCGGAAAAGACACGAGAAATAGTACATCAGGAATCTTGCTGATGAAGCCCTCCTCACAGTTCGCTCAATGGATGAACGGGTGATCGCAGATCATGTTGAGCTGAGCATTTTGCGCACCTGTATCAGGTTGACCCTCCACCAGTTAGTCTGAACGCAAGCTATGTTGCAACCCCCATGCCAGATCCACCCGTCAGCGAAGAACCTTCTACCCTAACTGAGGTGAGGGAGGCAATCTCGAAGATGGGTGGGACAGCAGCGGCCATTTAGGGTATCCCTGTTGAGCCTCAAAAGGCCGGTGGTGAACCTATGGCATTTGGCTTGCAAGCTCCCCTGACTGCCATATGGCAGTCCAGTACCACTCCCCCGTACCTGCCGAGGGGTGTAGTCATCTCTGGAAAAGGAATGGGGACCAGTGGGACTACAGTAACTACCGTGCCGTCGTACTGCTCAACATACTAGACAAGGTTCTCGCTCACATTCTTCTGAAAGATATCCGAGACAACCTACTATGGCACCAGAGAGCATTCTAGATTCACTCCTGGCAATAGACCAGATCATGAGTTTGGTTGTAGACTGCAGGCAGCCTACATCGACCTCAAGGTGTTTGACTCGGTGCATCAAGAATCGCTATGAAAGGTTCTGAGACTTATGGGTATTTTGACAAGATGGACTAATATCTTAGAATTGAAAGTGCTGTAAAGTGTGGTGTAGGCGCGCTTAGCTATTTCCCTATTAATTCAGGAGTCAGGCAAGGCTGTTTCCTTGTGCCAACACTTTTCAACAATTGCATAGGCTGGAGAATGGATAAAGCTACTGTTAATAATAGTCACTGTGGAGCACCACTGGACAATACCGTCACCTATCTTGACTTTGCTGTCGATGTTGCTAACCAATCGGAATTTCTGGAATCTCTGGTGACGACTCTTGATATATTTAGCAATGAAAAGAAGTCCTTGGGTCTAGAAGTCTTTCTTGGATCAAGAACAAGATTTTGGGGGCGTTATGGGAACCTGTTCAGTCGATATATGCTTGTGACAAGGATTTTGAAGTAACAGAGTTTTACATACCTTGATATTGGGCTGCCAGTCTTAGAAGGTAGCAGGTGCCATGGAATCAGTCAACAAGAGTACTTAGCAATGATATTCCTTGGGCAGAAGGACCAAGCTGCATGAACTCAAGAAAGCTGGGTGCTGTCCTTTGCCTTGGAGTCTTGACTTGATGTCTTTTATAATAGGTCCTTTCCCCAGATCATGGGTACAGTTGGCAGAACCTGTTGTGTCCAACCAGAGAAAATCATACGACCTGTTACTCTCACAATCTGGGGCCGCCAGCTCAGGCTTTACAGGTACCTAGCTTGTATCCCCATGGATGATCCTAGGACAATAGTATGAGTCAGTCCAGCCTCCCTCCTGAAGGTAGGTATTAAGACTGCTCAAAGCCAGCTATTTGGGGGAAAGATCCAGAAATATAAATGACTGAATGCATAGCAGCTGCTTCTGTTCTGTTCATCTGCATGCAGTTGTTCCACTGCCCATTTAAAAACCTTTGCATATTCCCATTGAATCCGGGAATTTTGAAGGTGTCTCTGTGATGAATAACCATAGCCCTTTTGAAGCTTTTCCAGTTTGTGGAGAAAAGGTTGTTTCTCCAAAGAATCCGGCTTTTATATCCTTGTCTTTGTCAGTGTCTATACATGTCTAACATATTTTGAGTCTGCTTTTAGTAATAACACTTCATTGCCACTGAGTCGTGGGACAATTACTGTATTGGTGAGAGAATATTTCTTGTAAAAACATGTCCAGTGTGTGTTGTATATGAGTGCAGGTGGGTGACATCACCATCCCTGGGGCATGTTCATGTGAGCTGTAGTGCCGACTGTGAAGTGAGTGAGTATTATGTCTTTGAATGATCATGAACTTGGTACCTGTGGGGAATGATTGACAGGGCTTGGGTGGTGTTCAGTGGGGGATCAGAGGAAGAAAGAAGAGGACAGTTAATGTCACAGGGGTTGCAATTACCTGTTGTCTTAATATTCCTAAAAGGGAGACAAAGTGAACATTGGAAGTTTTGAAGATACTGAATGATAGTGGGAGATCAAATTTAGAGTTAGTTACATTTAATTTTGCACTCAAGGTTTGGCATAGCTATGGCAATCAACCCTGGTTTGGTGATGAAAACTGTCATTAGAAGATTCCAGTCATCTTAATGCACAGGGTCGGCTATATGAATTTTGGTGAATGCTAAAGATTTACTTTTATTCTTTTTAGGCTGTGGGAATTGCTAAGAGACAGTGTGTAAGGAGTGCTAAGTGGTTTCACAGAGGAAATGGGACTGAATCTGAAATGGGAAGGTGCAAAGAGTAAAGAAAAGTAAGCAAGGAGGTTGGGAAGGATGAAGGAAACAGGGGCTCAAGAGGACAAGAGAGGAGATGAAACAGACAGCTCTGAAGCTGGCGGAAATTAATTTAAAAATAAGATGCAGTATTTGATATGGTATTAGAGGCCTGGGATATTGGATTAGGGGAAAGGTAAGGAGTGAAAATGTGTGATACATATATAGGTGTGTTTATGATAGTCATCTGGGTATATCATTGATGTGAATATGATGAATTTGAGTCCAAATCTGAAACAAGCAACTGAAATCACAGCCTACAAGAACTGTTAAGAATTATATCTTTAATTTAAAAAGATATATCCAAACAATTTGTTACAACTATGATGTATTTCACCATTTACCATATGAAAAATTGTCTTTCTGAAAGCAGAATAAGCCTTTTTTTTTTTTTTTTTTTTTTTTTTTTTTTTTTTTTTACAAATTGTCCAATTGAATTTAGTTGCTTGTGTGCAGAAACACCATTTTGCTAGAAGTCCTGTTCTAAGTCCTAGACTGCCAGTTATATAGAAGGGGAGTGAGGGATGGGGGGGAGGGGGAGAGCTGCAGTAGGTGTATCTGAGTCCAGAGAAATGCATGCATTTCTGTTAATACCTTTTTGTACTGTATTTTTTTTTCTTTTTTTTTTTATCTCCTCTGGACCTCATTTCTGTATTTCCTAGGCAACAACTATTCCACACAAATGGGATATATATTCCCATCAACAAGAAAAGGTAAATAATACAAACATTTTTATGAAAAATAACCTTTACTCACACCCTCATTCCGTCACTATGTACACACATGGTGCATAAATACTGGACAATAAAAAAAATCACCTATCACAAAGTTTAGAAAATCAGTGCCTGCATCAAAATAAAACAGAACCATTCACAAGCTGACAGCCAGACCAAAATAAATAAATGTAAGAAAAATAATACATTTACAAAATAAATATAAAAAAGATAAAAGAACGTATAACCATCACACAAAGCTCTTGAGGTCCTGAGTGCATGCGTAACTCCTAAAGCATTTTTCTTTATCATCTAATGGAACAAATAATGCTCGTAAATCAAGGAATACATGACAGCAAGTATTGGAATTACCCACATTATCATTTCTATTTACCATATGTTATCAACTTTTAAGTTCAACATTGCAGGAGAAACAAATAAAGGACAGAAATATATCCTTTTACAAGAATATGAAATAAAGATACATAAAAATCACAAGTTTCTTCATTTGCATATTTAAAAACAGGTTCTTACCCCTCATTTCATAATAACTTGAATCAATATAACTGACAAATATATTCAAAGTCTGGATATTCTTCACATCTAACTTCTGATTTCATGACATACTACTAAATATTTTCAAGCGACCTAATTTGACAGTCTAGAAGAAAACCAAAGTGATATACAGCATTTCTACAGAATAAGACCAACTTTTCGCCAGATACAAATCAATGCTGACCTTCACTTATCCAGCATTCACCAGTGGTTCGAGACAGTGATCTGAATCTGGACATCATTACTCGGCCTAACAGCTGCCTCGTCTCAGTTGGAGCTGCTTCATCCTTTTGGATAACCAATATTTTATCCCTGAATTGGTTTTAATGCAATGTGGTCTCTACATCATTTTGCCTTTTTTTGCCCTCAGCTTGACTTTTAGAAAATCCACTACTCAGGTCAATAGTAAAAAAATGATATATTTGGTCACTCTTTAAAAATTACTGGTTATGCTGAGGTGGATAAGCTGACAAAGGGATCAGTGGAGGTTTTTTGATAATCCAAATTTCCTCGGGATAAAATCAACAAATTAATTACTTCTACAAAATCCTGCATGTTAACAAACTAACAACATAAGTCACAGGAATTATATTAAAAAGACAGACTGAGAAAGAGAGAGAAAAAATATATATATATCTGATCGTGTGTAACAACTGTCATAAAACATTTGATATATAAAATCAGAATAGAAAGTATATTTATCAATTAGTAGTTTAATCCAAAAAATGCAAAAGATAGCACTTGCCATCAACATTTGGAGTATATGCCAAAGTTCTCATGTGTATCTTGTCATAAAGAATGGAAGAATATTGTTTTCTACAAGTTTCATCTATTGTCTTTTATTGCACACCATAAACATGACCATATTTCTAAACTCTGTTGTTCTCAGCCAATAAGAAAAGAGCTTTATGTGTAAAAATTCCATGTACTTCTTTCTTCATTTTGTTTATATTTTGCTTTTCATTTTTTGGAACAAATATGGAGACATGTTAATTCTCCACAGTTAATAAAAAAAAGAGAAAATTAATCATTTCAAAGCAAAATCATGTTTAAAAATTGACTTTATTTAAAAATAAAATGAATACTTTGTAAGAAAAATGAATTATTTGTCTATAGTTGTTAAATATTGACATTGCACTGAAAACTACTATATAGCCAAATCAGGCTGTTCAGTAGTTTTCAGTAGAAATCACTATTAAATATATAAAAATATAATCAAATTTAACATTCTCATATTTTTGTTCTCAAGATAAAGCATAACATCTCATACTTTGGAAATACTCAGAAGTTAAAGATAAATAACTTAGCTGGCTTTAACATTATCTGTGCACACTGGAATGAGCAGTACCTCTGAGGAGGCGAGGACAAGGAAAAGGAGGTAGAAGTGGAAGAATGAAGACATTAATAAACAAAAAAGTGAAAAGGAGGAGAAATGGGTTATGAAGTAATGAAAGACAAAAACTGTAATCACAGAGCAGATCGAGATACTCTAGCTCAGAAATTTCAGCACCGTAACAGTAGCTACATCTATTTCCAACGAGTCACGTACTCACAGTGAAAGCTATCATTTATGCTAAACTCCTAGTGCAAAATTCATAAATGCGTATCAATATGATACACTCTGCACAGGTATTTGCTGCAGTCTAATATTACTTCTGTGTGTGATTCATATCATTTCACACCTTCCAAGGAACAGAACTCTTCTCATTTCCATACATGTACTTCATTTTGAAAGTTTCTTTTACCGAAAGCAAATGGAAGTGTCTTCGTCTGAATCAGTTTTATGTCCAAATCAATTAAAGAAGATACTCTACAAAGACAAAATGGAAAGAGCTATGGACTATGATAGAGGAGAAAAAACAAAATGTAAAAGAGAAAGACAATGAAAAGATGAGAAAACACAAATATGGAATTCATTATTTTGATAAAAAGGCTGAAAATCTTGTTATAAACCTCTTGTAACAACATTAATATAAACAATAACAGCCCTCCAATTCACCAGTGCAACCTTAACATACTTTCATTTTGTTTTTGTTTTCCTTAGGCAGCAACACATGATAGTACATATGCCACTTACAGTCCATTCCAAGGACTGAAGTGCAAAACTCAAGTCAACAGAGGGCTATAATTCACCCAAAAATGTGTGTATTGCAACCAAAATCAAACTTGACCAGTATTTCATCATAATATTCCAACAATCCTTACTGAGTTGCTGACCCAAAACCCAAATTTATTTTAACAGTCAGTGAAACAGACTATGTAATGGATTTGGCTTTTGTACAAAGTCAGAAGATACATTCCTCATTACATCATACATATACTGCACATATGCACTAAGATACACAGGATCACATAGAGTGGAATGTACTTCATGTTACAATCTATGCAAATGTAATAATGATTATAACATTGTGTGTAAAACTGAACACAAAACAATAATACATGGATGGAATGGTGTCGGTGCAAAAATCCACATCATTGTCATTATCATCACTCAAAAAGGCACCTCAATACTGACTCATGGTAAACTTGAAATACAAAAAAATCAATGAACATGGCTGTTACATTCCAACTTTGCAAGATATTGGGGGAAAATTGAGAAATTATTGGGTAACTAAAAACTGAGGTTATCTGAAGTATGTCTTCATATTCTACTTCATCATTTTACTTGACTATTGTGAAGAGAATCAAAACAAAATCACTCTTCCCATAAAAAAATCAACTGATTACCCTTACAAGTCATCAAAAGAATGGAAAATCATAAGAGGTAAAAGATATATTCTTAATAAGAAAGACTTCAAATATTTCCTAAATATATGTTAAATATTTCTGGTAACCATTGCTCTCCTTAGAAAGACCAGTTATTTGCAAACAAATTATCAAAAAAACAAAAAATGTGCATAGCACAATACATATAAAAGAAGCAAATTAGTAAATAAAAAATCAAAATGTTAGTATTATTCTTATCACATTGTGAACTACACAGTCTTCACTTCAACATGTTTATCATCTAAGCTTAAATGTGCTGTCCTCTTTGTAAGGTCAACATATTGAAAAAAGAGGTAAATGCACCTTCATTTTCTTCAAATAAATCTATATGAAAACAACAGCAGAAATCAACAGACTCTACCAGCTGAGAGCTGGATAATGAAAAAACATAAAACAAAAATGTTAATAAAATGTTAATAAAATAATAATAATAACCTGACTGGCTTCTCTTTGTATCCTTCACAATGGCAAATAATTAAATTGAATATTTTTCCTCTAATTCACAATGAGTCTGTAATTTTTCTGCTGATTCATTTTGCTCCTTTTTTTGTCAGCCATATGATGACCCTTATTCTTCAACAAATTCATACTTGCCTATTGCAAACAACACAATGTTATTATTACTATCCTTCAAAATAAAGCACACAGTACTGCAAGCACACGTGGTACCCAGTTCAAGACTGGCTCATAGTTTTCATTGTTACTTATACATTATTTCCATTCTATCCTTTATATATCTGACTGGTATGACCTGAATCTTATTAGTGGCCAAGGTGTTTTAAATATGTAAAAGAAAGAATAACAATAAAATACTAATCACACGATGTTCTTTGAAAGGAGAGAATAACAAAGTTCAGTGATAGTGTATCATCTTATGTCACTATCTTACTCATTAGAGGTCAAACCCTAAAAAACTATATGTCTACTAATTTAAAGACATCACTGCCCACTTTCATATATATATAAATATGTATAAAAGCTCACTACAGACTGAATATCAGTATCTTATGACTATTTCTGTCTCAACCTCCAAGTCCTCATCTTATCCATATAAAACTGGCCAGCTTAAGACAAAATCCACCTTATGATTACATTCTATGAGGATCTTCATCTAACATGTGGAAAAGAATTCAGAAATCACAGATATTACTTGCATTCGTGACGCATACATTCTTGACTGGTTTATAGGTGTTTCATAATCATCATTACTATCTATACAACAAAAGAGATTATAAAATCTATCATACCCATTTAATTTTGATTTGTAAGGTATGGTATCATTTTCACTAATGTAGAAGTTTGAGCCTTTACGAAATATAATTTAGAGTTCTGCCTCTCCACTGCTGAAAATCATACCACTTCCCCGAATCATGACTTCCCAAAAAATGTAAAAGACACCATCATAAATAAAGTATTAAAATAATAATAATAATAATAATAATAATAATAATAAATTCTTGCTAGT